AATGTCCGAATTGTCACGGATCAACATATTCCAATGCCACTGAATAAGTCGACGGCGAGAGGACTCTTTCTGGTATACATGCCGCTTCTAATCGGGTCAACCTGATCCAACGAGTTGATGGGTCAAACTTTCTGTTTGTCCATTGCTTAATAACACTTATGGTCATGGGATCATGTATTAGTGCTCAGTACTCATTTTCTCAAATGGCCAGACAACTCTCGGTCATTTTATCTATTCACCACGGTGATAACGTTCTTTGTTATAATACAAATATGACTAGATTCCAATAATGACACCAACTTCAAAACCGTTTGGCTTTCATACGTCTTTGACTTCGACTCCTAGATTATATTTTTCATCGAACGTACAGTTCACCTCTTTATCAGATTTTCAGAACCTCGGTTCAGTTTTGCCAAGTCTCAATCAACCGGCGTAAGTGTACAATCGCTGACAATGTGATTTACGGATTGAAAAAAAGCTGGCTGGCTTGGTTGCCTTAAGCATATCGGTACTTTTCAGTTAAAATGCGTCTACCGTTAACAATGAAGAAACTACTGTGCAGCACCTAAATTATCCTTGTGCAGTCAAAGCCCGACTAGCAATATCTTTTAAAATAAACAAAACGCGATAAATACCCAGGATCAAACGACACAATTATTGAAGAAAATATAAGAAAAACAGTGGGCTACATTCCAGCTGCAAACAAAGGGAACAGCTAGGTCACAAAATATAAAATAATTCAGACACTGAAATACACCAGAACTCTACAAGAGTTTGTACAGACTTTCGATCTCTTTAGTGTAATCTATGAACGGGGTTTCGAGCACCATGGGAACATCATCGAATCGAACGTCGTTCATAAAATTTCGAAAACCCTCCAAACCGATTTTCCCCTTTCCTATATTTTCATGACGATCAAGGTGGCAGCCACGATCGCCTGAAATGAGACGTGAGAAATCGAACATAAGCTACGTCTGTTAAGCGTAACATTGCACTGAAATTCTTTAACTAGCGAAGAAGACCATAACTTACAATACCTTGATTATTAATGACACTTTGCTGAATCATGCGCAAAGCAACTTTGAGAATAAAATTGGATAGCAGCTCCCATTGGAGCCAGAACAGAATTGTACAAGAGATTGCCAATTTCGTTTATGCGACTCTGTTAAGATTGTTGCAAAGTAAACAGTGCATTATCTAAAGGAAATAATTTTTGCAATAGCTCTTATGTATAAATATGCTTAAGGATAGTGGCATATAGGCAGATGTCTCAGGTGGCATTTGTTCGGCCCTGCCCAGTGATGCGGTTTTCCATGCATACACTACAGGTGCTCTAACACCATGGAGCCGTGGTCTGCTTAAATGGTCCCCTAAATCATTAGAATCCCCTACGTCCCTACACCGTTTTAATCCGGTACCTAAAGAGAAAACATTAAATAGCGCACTGTTCTATTACCTGTGCCAAATGATCTTTCGTTCTATATTCTGGTTATAAGCAATGATGAGGAATTTTAAAAAATGACAAATCACCATCATGTCCACGTATGTAAATGGGTCTAAACAAAGAATATGCGTGCGAATACCGAACTGAAAAGATGAGCGAAGACCACCTAACGGAATCAGATAATTTGACTACAGATATTCAGAATATTGACAATACACGTTCAGTGCATGGCTCTTTTTAAGAAGAAAAAAATGCCACGACATGGAAATCAGTCGTAGCAGGGGAAATATCGTAAATGGAACGAATTAAATAATACCTCTGGAGTCGTTCAAATGCACCCCTTTGAGATAATTCCATCCAATAATTTTTCCAAATTCATTCATCGCTTTTTCATAACCCATTGCCGTTTTGACGTCGAAGCCTGAACGATGATAAGCGATGAAATGATCATGTATTACCCAAGACAGTATACCTGCGGCAAACATGTGACACGTGTCCAAACACACTCCAATACGAGTTTTGTCCGCCACCATATCGATGATCTTGCGGATTTCATTAAAATCACCTCCAACCGTGTATCCCTGACATGACATTGTTTCCAGGACTAAAATTAATATTCTTTCATAACTTCAAGAAACTAAAAATTCCAAATCGAAAAAAACGAAACGTATCAGTTGCAACAGCAAGTGTAGGTGGTTCAATCTGGGAAGAAAAATTATTTGTGAGAATCCATTTACCCGTATGATCCAACAAGAATATTTACGCAGCAACTTCGAACAGTTTCTCCAACAAGAAAAATCCTTCATTCTTTAAAGATCATAACCAGAATAACGCTCAGTGCCGTTCATGCCTTCTCTGGCTGTTGGACAAACCTTTGACTTTTCAGAGTGACCGTTTTCAGTTTATATTTTCGTTTTGCAAGGTAATAATGGCAATTCGCTATGTGATTAGTTACCATGAGGGGAACGCTCGGTTCAATCAGCGTTAAACCATCGTGCCAACTGCATTGCAACCAGCGACACGTTATCTGCAGTAGTTTCACACAATCTGGCACAGATAATCGAACATAAGTCAGGTGAAACCGGGGCACAATGAATAGTCAGTAAAATGATTAATAATGTTAATGTTGACCATTATTCTGCCTGAATGTAATCAAGATGTTTCCGATTCAGTGAGACTGGATTGTAGTTTATTGGCAAAATCAGAAATGTTCCTAAACCCTTCAGGATCGCCAGATCAACATTTATGTCCAGCTGTCAATTGGTGATGGACATAAGATTTGCAGCACAGCTATCACAGCAGACTTATCTATTATCTTGCTATTTCCCCTGCCCTCTTTCTAACTCCTATCAGGCATCTTTCGTGTGTGCCAGTTGATGTCTCAATTTATGTCGACAACTGCTCGTACTCTACTTTAATGCAGCTTACGGTGCAATAGTTATGTGCGCCTCGATGAAAAAAGCCCGGAATATCTGATCTTATGAAACGCAATATCTATAAGATGAAGTAGTTGTGCTCACTGATTTCCCTCGAATGGAAGACAGAAGAATATCCCGAGTAAAGAATTCAAACTCTAAATCCTATTATTCAGTTGATTAAATTTCCCTGATCTAACGAAATGAGAAGAGCCAAATACTCTTTGACAAAGACAATGTGAAACGGTACCAAGGTGCGTCTTGAAAACAGTATCAGCAAAGGAATATTCGGTTGTTGTTCAATCATTATCGGTAGCTGCAAATGTGCTAAAGGTGAAATCAGGAGAGTAGGGATATTACTTAGAATATTTAGATATTCTTTGAAAACAAATACAGGAAATCGAAGCCCATCACCTTCTCTTAAAACAACTGTACCTCGCTGCAGCGATGCACGAGACACTTAGCTATTAGAGACCGTTCTGCCAATGTACACGAACTACAACCGACAGGCTTTCAATAGTGGTTGTTGCATACCATGAGAATACTGTGGTAGCAACAAAATTAGGGAAAAACAGACATCTTGGCATTGGCCAATTATGCAGATTTTCAGTTTCAGGAGTGAAGCGAAACAGAATATTTGTGGAACTTTACTATTTAATGGCAAGTAATTAAGTAACCATGCCATCAGCAATTAAAATGAATTCTCACTGAAGAAGAATATTTTTAACAGAGATGTGTCATGGATGAATATGAATGCATAACGAATCCGAAGCCTAAATTTTTACTTCACGGCTACACTGCAACCAGATTGCCAGCTGAGTAAGAGAAGAAGACGAGTCTAGGCATCATGGCTTTCAGCACAAGCAAATATACACAATGGATACAGCCAGCGACGCATAAATAACGTCAGTATTCAATGCCATTATGATCCCCATCAATTTTTTGAAATGCGAACCAGACCTTATACACTGTAACTTTTTTATACTCATTATCACTGACCAGTACATGTTGACCAAGCGACCGGTTCTAGGTCTTGCCTACGAGCGATAAAGTTCATCTCCATAAGCAGCACTTTCATCCTTCCGCTGCAAGGGAACGAGTAGTTGTGGAGATTTTTGCGGATGCTTCAGATACTCAGCATGGCAATAGGCGCGCCCGGTCATCATACTGTACGCTGCAACATATTGCGGGTCGTTAGTACGGGTGCTCAGATTATTTGTTTGTTCAGCATGATTGTAGCTGGCTGACACACTACCAACCGAAGTCAGAAGAGTTCGATGCGTGGCAGCATCACCTATCGTATAGATCGCTAATCTCCAAGAAATGGACCGGAACGAAATAATGGTCAAGAAAACTGCCGAAAGCGCATTCCACTCCATAAAGAGTTCAGCTCATATGGCCATAATATTGTGTCTGAAAGCAGGCCAATCGAAAAGGTTCAGGGCGTGTGCAATTTAAGGAATTAGCTGCAGATGCGTGACACCCGCCGACATCACCAAAAGCACAGCGGTGTGGGGAAAAGCCAGGTACGCATGATTAGTCATTCAGAAGAGACGAAGATCAACTGATGTTGAAACCGAGTGGCAGCTATTTAAGAGAAGCCTACTCGAGGCTGCCGCCGAATGCTGCG